TACTTATTTCTTTCTAAATATAATCGTCTGATTTTCGCATAATTTGATAACATTATATAATAAATATTTGAATATTTGGTGATATTTACAATATGTACAACATATGCTTAAGGCAAATTTAAAATATATGTCTTCTACTTATCAGCTACTCAATTTAATAAGTAAATCAGATACATGAATTTAATTGTTGGAATAAAATGTTGTTGTTGTATAATAGCACGAAATGGCTTCTTTAAAAATTTCTTAAAGGAAAAATCTAACTAATATATTTCAAGTATCGTAAGTCATATTGACAACATCAATGAAGAGAAATTTTGTATATTTTGATTTTACAATTACAATATCATAAAGCAGCAATATTTATGTAAGTAGCATATTAACATTGTTTTAGTTTATCAATTTAAAATTATATGATTTTTATTTTATAAAAAATTTAATAGCTTAATTCAGTATAAAAAGCATTTATTATCTAAAACATTTTAATCCGAATATATTTTTCATTATACATGTATATGGTTAAATTATTAATATTTACATTAACATTTAACGTTAAAGTTTACATAAAAAATAACATTCAATCCTTATATTATTTGATTTATAAAAATATTTCTACTTTAAAATATTATTACATCTATTTTCAGGGAAGTATTTTAAATGAATAGTCCTATAATTATTTTACAATATCATAATGAATCATACAAAGTAATTAAAGCATGGTTGAAGAAAAAAATTGGATATGTCATTCCATTAGAACTTATTGGAAATAGAGCGAGACATTATTAAAAAAGAAATTAGTGAATTCAGGCAATGTTACTGTAATCTGGTCATGTTGCATAGATACTAATATTCCAAGGCCAAATATAGAAATATAAGTAAGAAAGCGTGTATAATTGTGCTAATGAAAGTAATTGAAATTAGTCAAAAACTATATTTGTAAAATATTAAGCGCTTTTACTCACTGAATTACACATTATGTTATTTATAAATAATAAAAGCTAATCGAAGAAAAACTTGATTAGTCCTAAAAATTAATTAATATTGTATGTAATTAAATCATTAGTATTTAAAAAGATTTTATTGTTATAAAAATTGTATATATGTTATTAATACAAATATTAAAAACATATTAAAAAAAATATATTAAAAATATTTTATATCGAATAAATTAATTCCTTCTAATGATTCTGTTCCGTAATTTAATATAATTTTTAAGTATATTTTCCTTAATTTAACATTATTAAAGAGCAAAATTTCTATGCTCTCGTAAAATGATTAGAGTTAAAAAATTTCTCCTATCTCTTTGGTCAGCAGAATTTTAGAAATAACTTAACTAATAAGCATCTACTGCATTTTGCCTTTATATAATCATAAATCTAGGCATTTGTTTTTCTCTCTTCTTAAAAATACATACGTACATATAACTTGTACAAAGTCAATGTCATGAATTACCAAAACGAATAAGACAATAAAAAGGACCAAGGTTTTCCATTCGCTCCGATGAATACATAAAGTGTATGTGACGCATTTTTCTTTGTTTGCATGACTTGAAGCCCACTGCGGTGAAATTTGAAAGGTGTTTTTATAGTTTTTACATGATTTTTTTCTTCTTTATTTATAATTGAAATTTTATTAGTTGTTTGAAGAAATGAAGAAGTGTTCATTTACTTATTAACTAAGTTGAGAATGATAGATAGATATATTGAAGTTTTCTCGTAAACAGCACTAACTTAGACATTGATTTGTATCGTCAGTAGCCTAATATGCTGAAGATATAATCGGATAGTTGGATAAAAGAATAAATTATATACATTGTATGTGGTAAATGGAGAAATTTGTATAATTATAGTTATGTTCATATAAGTATAAATATTTCTTGTCCCTTATTAGTCTAAGCATGCATAAATATAAAAACTAACTGCACGCGAATAGTTATCCTTCCATTATACGATTATTATATTTATAACAAGAATATAATTTGATTCTTTTAACGATAAAATAATTACATTAAACATAATATAAATATGCATCTAACCTCGTTGCCCATTAAAATTAACTCACAGATAAACGCTATTCCACTTGCTTTATTTTATTTTAAAGCCAACTACGAATTAAAAAATATTGATTCTTTCGACGAGATAAAACGCTGTCTGTCTTTCTTGATTATTATAGAAATTCTAAAAATGTTACTCGATGACTAACTATAATTCTGTACTATAATACTTTATTATGAAAGTTTTAATCTATTAGCTTTACATGGCCCGAGTTTTATTCGGCTTGTTAAATAGGCTTAAGCACTTATTAAAAGAAAAAGGGACACGACCAATGGGCACGACCAAAATTAAGGCGATTAAACGTCAAAAATCGATCAGATCATTCGGCTTATGCGATCGAAGAATTCTGAGTTCCTAACATTCCAGAAAATTAGGGATACTATTGACATAAATGAAATGTGCGTATTGAAAGGAATAAAAAAATCAAGGTCTCTTTTCGGTCCCATCGTACACAGCTATTTATTTCTCTTTGTTCGTGTGTGTAGCTTCGACTCAATGAACGGCAGCCGGTTACGCTTGTACGCCTAAAATACGTATATTATTTATCCGTTCGTCATCACGCACCTCGCGAAAATCACTCACTCGTCCGCTCATTCTTCTCTTTCCATCGCCGTTTGTCTGTCTGCTTGTCGGTCTGTTGAGCTTCCCCCCCCCCGCCCCTCCTTCCCAACCCGTCCCGCCCTGCCCGTCCCGTTCGCTTTATCTCTCTCTCTCTCTCTCTCTCTCTCTCTCTCTCTCTCTCTCTCTCTCTCCTGAGCACTATATATATGAGCGTGAAACTCGTGACGACGGTTGTACGCGCGCGCGCGCCGCCGTTGCCGCCGCCACTGCCGCCGCTACCACCGCCACCGCCGCCGGAAATTTTGAATGGGGAATCCGTAGAGTCGTTTCTGCTGCCATTGCCGGCATCATGTGCTTTCCTCTCGTCCCTCCCAATGCAGTAGTAATGACTGTTTGAACGGGTACTCTCATTTCTACATACACATGCGAATTGGAGACCGAAATCATTCTTTTTCGGGGTGCATTCGCGTTCTGAGTGGCCGACGGTTTGATTGTCGAAGCTCGATTCAACGCGTTGAATGGAGCTCCGTTTTATTGATATTTCAACCAAGTTGTTTAACGCAAACGAACGATTATCGTGAATGAATGAATGGATGGGCGATTGAATGAATGAAAGCTTGCGATGCCGAATTAACGCTGTAATTGTATGGGATAGGGTAGATGTTATACTAATTACTTAATAATTTGTATTAGTACTTTCACTACTCATTTTAGATAAGGATTTGGTATCTTCATAAGTTAAGGGTTTTCGAATTACCATGCTTACATTGTAATCGCAAAGTAGTAAGCGTCTCATGAGTCAGACATGTGTGTCCACCACTTTCCTTGCACCGCTTCTTATTTTTAATCTCAAGTTTATTCAATACCAATCGACAGTAAACATTGATATTTTTTTAATCTAATTGTAGATATTACGTAATTTCCAATGACGGAGGTCGTAATATTTATTTAAATTAATTTTGGAACCAAGTCAAATAGAAATTAATAATGTAAGCCTATTATTCGACAATTAATCATAAATTGTGACGCTAGCGTTAATACAATTGTTTATTTCACTACTTGAACGTATTTTTCATCACACGATAATGTAAAATACAATAATTTATAAATCAAATATCCGTATTAAAGAATTATAGAATCATTTATAAATTTGTTTCTTCGATAAAATGTTTGCGTTAAAATTTTGTCTCGATAACTAATGTATTGTTTAATAAGTATATTCTTTAAAAACAATGCGTATTTATTGATTATTTATTTAAATGTTTGTCCGAAATTATTCTTCAAAAAATATTACATACAAAATAGTTGTTTCGGTGTCCTTGAAATCAAAATGAAATTCGTGCCTTGACTGAATCTTCGATCTACCGTACTTTTTTTATGCAGGAATCGTAGGTAAACAAAACCGACGCATCGTCATTCTTTTTGCTTTTCCCCTTACGTTCGACGATAATGAAGAAATTTGAGTGCATATATGCGTAACGTTCACTTCAATTTTTATGTTACATACTCCAACTGTTGACGATATTTTTTGCAAATTTTAGTATGCATTCGAATCATATATAAGCATAAATTAGAGTTTAATGATATTTATTCATTATATTAATATAGAATGTCAATAGAATATATTTATATCTGCACATGCTTTATGGGCGACGATTTCTATTTTCGAGCATAAAAAAATTGATTTAATGAAAATCATAGCTAGAATAAAGAAATTAATTCTTAGAATTATTTCTACGTATATAGAACTGTAATTGCAATAAATTATGTTTTTCTTGTACTATTGAGTTAAGTATTAATTTGAATATCTTTAAATGTGGCTGTGCTGCCTTAATTTATTTTATAAGATACTTCCATGTACAGACTGATTAGAATTACAGGAGTGAATGCAAATATAACAATTTGAATGCGAAGTGTATAAAAATTTAAAATCAAATATATACATTGAATAATCGATAAAAATAAGATAGCGTTACGCCAAGTTCTGCGACTGTTGTACAATGGAGTAATTTCTACTACATTTCTTTTAAGAAAAATTCTAATTATTTTACGTCTTGGTTATCGAATCATTGAAAATGCATAATATTATATGATTACAATATGATAAAACCAATGTAAAACAATGGAAGATTAAAGTACTACTTGATATCCATTGAAACAAGGAATTTCTGACAGGGCTTCGGTCACGCTTTAGCATGATTTATCTGGTTCACACTTAATGAACCCCACGAGGAAGAGGGGAGGGAGGGAGGTAGGGAGGGGGGGGGACTGCGACAAATTTGATTATGAGCTGTACGTGGTAATGACCGTTAGGGATAACGCTGGCAGTATACGAAAAGCGCTGATAAAATTTACGGGTTTTAAACGTTATATTTATAAAATACTCACCGGAATTGTAATATTCCTTAAAGTAGCGTGTCGCCGCACGCTGGACGATCGAGTAATATAAGTTCACGTATGACGTCGACTGATTTTGTGCGGAGAGCGCCATTTATGCCGACTTTAGTCCTGCTTCTTTACACAAAATATATGTGTATACCTATATGTATGTATTAAATATATATAAATATATTTATATAAATATATATATATATATATATATATATATATATATATATATATATATACACTTGTGCTTGTGTGTGTGCGCGCGCACGTGTATGCGTGATGTGTGAGAACGCGTGTATGTGCTTACGGGTATGTGTATACGTCTATGTTTACATCTGCATATTTCCTTCAATGTATCTATATGTGCGCGCGGGCGTGTGTGTGTGTGTGTGTGTGTGCGTGCGTGTGCGTAGATAGATAGATTTATGTATATTAAGTATTTATGTATTCATGTATGCACACATTTGCATATGCATATATATAAATATACAAACATATATCTATACGTGTAAGTGTGCATGTGCATATAGAAGTGTATTTCTGCACGTATGTGTATATATATATATATATATATATATAACTAGATATATAAATGTATGTACGGAGCAATTTGTCGTTCGTTTCGACGAGAATTGGAGGACAATTTCCAGTGTACTTTGACGTGTACTTTACGAACTCGCACGTCGAGCACACGACAAAAAAGAAGTAGACGTACGATCGATGGGCCCCGCACACGCGTCTCTCTTGTCTCTCTTGGCGGACTTTTCCTTCCCGTTCGTCCGCCCGTGTGCGCGCGCGAAAAAACGAGCGCCAACGACGAAAAGCGAACCGAAAGAAAAACGAAACAACACACTCGCGTACACGCACACGTACACTTGCTACCGCTGGACGGAGCGCCAAAGAGAAAAGGGTGAAAACTACTCCGCTCTCGCGTGCCGACTTGCGGCGTGCGCGCGCACACGCGTTCGATGTATGTCCCTCTTACTCTTTATTCCTCTTTATCCTTCACCTCCTTTCTCTCTCTCTCTCTCTCTCTCTGTATCTCTCTCTATATCTCTTGTTCTCTCTCTTTCTCTCCCTTTTTCACTCTCGTTTTTGTCTATCTATCTACCTTTGTCTGTCTGTCCGTACCGCTGTCCTCCTCCTATCCCTGCTTATGAATGTGCATGGAAAATAACACGACGGACATGTGTATGCGTGGACGCGCGCTTCGAAAAGTCGCGTGCGTGCGGGTGAAAGCGACACTCCGATACTAACACACACGCGCGCACTCGTGCCTTGCACGCGCCTGATTATTCAGTAGTAACAGCTGGCTTTTCCGACGTTATGGGCCGCGCGGCTCCGCCCTTCCTTATTTTTTGCCGGCGGCGGGACGTCGGCGACGACCAGGCGCTCCAATTTTGCTCTTGTTGCTCCTTTTGTTGTTGCTGCTGCTGTTGCTGCTGCTGCTGCTGCTGCTTTTGTTGCTGCTGTTGTCGTGGTTGACGCTCTTTATCGAGCAGCGATGACTCGTTGCCGATGCTGCTCGCGGTGGCAGCGGTACTCCAGTTTGCTGCTGCTTCTGCTGCTGCACCGCACGACAACGAAGTATATAGGCCGCCAGGATTTCGCATGTCCTTCGCTTCTCCAGGGAGCGCTGTCCTCTCGATTTCTCCGTCGGCTGCTACGACTCCCTCGTACTCTTCCCGCCTCTACTTCTCAACGTGATTGGTCGACGGCGTGGAGATAACTAGCTCGAACTCTCGACTTCGCATCTCCGTGACTCGCCGATGAGGGTTTACGCAGCCGAGAAAATAATGTAAGGATCGTCCTTAGCTCGCTTAGTCCTTCCGCCGGTCCGTACGGGGCCGTCGCAGTTCGTAGCGTCGAGCGCGCGCGCGCCGGTATACGCCAAACTCTCTCTCACTCGGCTCGCGCGGGGTTTTCAGACACACAGAGAGTGGCGCGCGTTCGTCGTTGTCGTCCGTCTCTCCGGCCGGGGCCCCCCCGAGGTATACACACGACGGGAGTAGAGTAGTGTGTTGTATTACTCTCCTCGTTGCGAGTCGCCGCCACCGCCGCTGCTGCTGCTGCCGCCGCCGCCGCCGCCGTTGCCGCCGCCGACGCCGTTGCTTGCGCCAAGACCGAGACGGCGCTGGCGGTGGCGAAGCGCAACGTTGCCACGCTTCCACAAAGAGAGAGGGAGATGGTACCGGCTCGCTTGTGCTCTCTCCCTCTACGTTCCGAAGCCAATCCAGTTCGGAATCATGTCCCCACCAGCGAGAGTGATTCGTCGCTGCTGCGGAAGAGAGATGGAAGGGGCGCCACTGTGTACGTGCATGCGTGCGTGCGTCGGGAGGAGAACGAGCCCGTTAACGCCAGACCATCGGCAGATATGAGCTAAAGAGTGAGAGAGAGAAACACACACACATAACGACTACAGCTACGACGCAGATGACGACGACGACGACGCAACGACGATGAAGGAGGCGAAAGAGGAGGACTGCGTGAAGCTACGACAAAGTGGAGAGGGCGGCTGTGGTGGGGGAGGAGAAGGAGGAAGAATTGGTAGTCCCCTACCTATGAGATGTAAAATAAGATAAATAGATAGAGAGGTAGATAGATAGATAGATAGATAGATAGATAGGTAGATAGATAGATAGATAGATAGGTAGATAGATAGATAGATAGATAGATAGGTAGATAGATAGATAGATAGATAGATAGGTAGATAGATAGATAGATAGATAGATAGGTAGATAGATAGATAGATATATAGATAAATAGATAGATAGATAGATAGATAAAGTTATATAGATGGATAGATATATAGATAGTTAGCTAGATAGGTAGAAAAATAGATAGATGGAACGAGAGCGAGAAAGACAGACAGAGAGAGAGCTAGAATGAGTGGGCAGGAGGGAATTGGGATCGGCCAGGGTGAAAAAGTTATGTTGGTCCGTTGCTAGAAGTAATAGTAGTGGTAGTATCAGCGGCAGCAGCAGCGGGAGCGGCGGTGGCGGCGGCGTCGGTTGCGGCGGCAGCGACGGCAGCGGCAGCGGCGGCGGCAGCGGCAGCAGCAGCAATAGAAAATGGAGTGGGGCTCCGATGGGTTGTCGCGCTAGAGTCGCGGTAGAGGAAGCGAGAGGAGGCGAGAGCAAGAGAGTCGGTGGAGTTGGACATAGTCTGAGCCGACATAGGATAGGAGCGACGAGAGGAGGGCGCCCCTGAAAGTGCGCTGGAGGAGGAGGAGGAGGGGGAGGAAGGCCGGCGTTGGAAAAAAGAGGTGCGAGAGAGGCGAAAGAGTTGAGCGACGAGAGAAAGAGATGGAGTCGCCCGGAGAAAGAGCGGGGATTCCCCAGTCTCGGTGGGCTAACCGCTTGTATATATGTATATATGGTA